CGGTGCTTGGGAGGCAGACATGGAGATGAGGAGACAATCGGTATTGGATCCACCACCCTCAGGGTCAGAGTGGCAAGATCTAGCCGCTGCGCGCCACCACCATGTACTAGATGGCTGGATCCATTGTCTGGGAAAGGAAGAGAGATCAAGATAGAAAGAGAGGCAGTGAGAGAGAGAGTTTGAGAAACTGAGGCTGAGAAAAGAGGAGTGGCCACGTTGAGGTGGAGGAGAAAAAAAATTGAAGGGTAGGGTGTGGTAGGTGGGAGATACGGGTTTTATTGTTGTTGTACCCGTTGGAGATATGAGGTGACCGGTAATGGGACATAAATAGTCATCTTTCACGGGCCGATAGCTTGCACCTGTCAACGATGATCCATCGGTGATAGGGCGCCTTGGCTGCGGTAGGTCACATATGTCCTGTGTTGAGCCACAAATTCATCCCGTCAAAGATGAGGGTTAACGGTGACAGGTTCGGCCGTGAGGACGTATCTTTAATCGGTCATATTAATTCTACCCCATCACAAGTGTGTGCTTTTGTAACAGGCTGTAGGTCTCCGTAATAGATGGGCCAATAAAGATGCTAGATTTTGTAGTAACGCTAGCACATATTTCTCTCCTTATTTTTTTAAAAAAATTCTTTGACCTTAAAATCTTTAATTCTAGAATGTGGTGCATGTGTTTTATTTGAAAGAATCTATTCAATATCCTTTAATCTACTCTAAATAAAACAGTAAGGTGATAAATATTTTTTCTTTGGTTGCGCCTTACATTTTAGGGCAGATGGAGGACTATTTATAGAAGTTAAAATTATTCTGTTTAATAAAAACATATATATATATATATATATATATATATATATATATATATATATATATATATATATATATATATTTACTGTCATGGATATAATTCCATCATACTTCATCTTGTGATCCTCTCGTCATAAATATTCAACGATGATGACAATATCCAATCAAAGTAAACATTTCATATCAGTTATCGCTCAAATACTCACATTAAAAATAAAAAATGGTAGGCCGAAATTTGATTTGAGAAAATAATATCACAATACAATAAACATATTAATTTTTCAAATTTATTTTAATATTAATATAAACTGATAGTCAGAATCCAAAAGTTTGACCGAGTCATTTTCTAGAAATTTATTATGATGCGAGGGAATAATTGTTTCTAAATTAAGTTTATACAATCTAATTAGTTTAAGACTATAAAATTTAATAAGTTTATGCGACGACGAAACTTTGAAATCTGCACAACATTTTCGTACTTGTCAAACTTGTTGGTACTCAAGATTTAAAATTTGGGGCAATTGCTTATTTGACCTCGTTTTGAATTCTAATTGCCGATTTGACCCTACTTTCTGAACTTTGCTTATTTGACCCTTATTTTCGAGTACGAAGCTCTGGTCTGACTCTATTCCGTTTGTGTGAGGTGACGGTGTTAATTTTGGGGTAAATAGTTCATTTTGCCCTTGCTTATTTGGCCCTGTTATATCTTGTTTGTTTGCTTATTTGACCTAAAGTTTGGATAATATAAAAAAAAAATCTCTTTCCCCAGCGGCGGCGGCGGCGCACCCGCGGAGGAAGACGGAGGCCGGCGCGCGCTGGGGGGAGAGAGCGGTGCCCTGTGCTCTTCGCCACAGCGTCGTCGTCGTCGTCGTTGCCGACCGGCGGTGGCGCGCGGGGAAGAAGATTGAGGCCGACGTGCACGGGGAGGGAGGGAGTGGAGGGAGTGGCCCCTGTGATCTTCGCCGTGGCGTCGTCGTCGTCGTTGCCGACCCGGCGGCGGCGCGCGCGGAGGAAGACAGAAGCCGGCCCGCAGACAGAGGGAGGAAGGCGCTGGAGCTCACCGGCGTGCGGAGGGCGGGCGGCGGCATCACGCACGCGGAGAAAGGAGGAGGCTGGCGCGCGTGGAGTGGTGACGGCGCGGCGCCGAAGCTCACCAGCTCGCGGGAGAGAGACGCCGCCGCCGCCGGATCTGCGGCTCGTACACCCAGCAGCCGCCGGATCCACCGCTTGCACACCGCCACGGCCTGAGCTCCACCACCGTTGCTCCTCCTCCTTGTCATCGAGCTCACCGTCGCCGCCATGACAGCTCGGCGCCACCGCCCCCACAGCTCGGCGTCGCTGCCCCCACAGATCGGCGCCGCCCCGCGCCCCATCAGACCGCCGCCACCGCCGCTGCCCTCCACCTCCACAGCGGGCGCCGGCGGGGCTGTACATCACGCCGCCGCCCCCTCAAATCGGCGCCGACTCGGACCCCCTCAAAGTGCCGTCGCCACCGCCCTCCACCACAACGAGTGGGCGCCGGCGGGGCAGTGCTTGACGCCGCCTCCGCTGCCCCCTCAGCTCGCCGCCACCGCCGCCCCCTTAGCTAGCTGCCACCGCACGCGTAGGTCGTCGCCGCCGCTGCACGCACGAGTGAGAGAGAGGTGAGACCGTGAGAGTCACGCACGAGTGAGAGAGAGAGAGTCAAAATAGGGTTTGGAGGGTATTTTCGTCACTAGGAAGTCTTGAAACATTTTCTTTTTTAAAAAAATCGAACCCTAACGGAGTCATCAAAAGAGGGTCAGAGGAAGCTTCGTACTCGAAAAAGAGGGTCAAATAAGCAAAGTTTAAAAAGTAGGGCCAAATCAGCAATTACAGTTCAAAACAGGGTCAAATAAGCAATTGTCCCTTAAAATTTTGATGAAAAAAAAGGTTAACTTCATATGTGTTAATCGAAAGGAGTATCAAATACCAATGAATCTCAACAAGTCATCAAAATATAATTGTTCAGTGTATGTTTAGATTCCATAACGCTGATAACTTTTCTCATGAAATTTAATAGTTCTCGTTACTCTCTTATTCCTCGAGTAGAAAAAAATATCCGTGTGTTATAACGGGTAAAGGCTGAGCAATAAAATAAAACACTGGAATCACTATTATACACTATAATTGAAAAGATTTATTAAAATCCTTGCTTGGTTTTGGGCTAAAAGTCCACTATTTCTTTCCTTTTCAGCCCTAGCCCGGTCCGTTGACTCCTACCTCCTTACACTCGGCTTACCTCTCTTCGGCTCAAGCCATAACTGAAGTCGCAGACCTACCTAGCACAGTCGATTGCCTTCTCTCGCTGCCAACCTAGACCCATGCGCTATAGTAGCATCTTCAACCTCCAGGCGATAGTCCCATGCCCGTACGATGCCGGAGTGAATCGTCTCCATAAAATCCGTTCGAATTTTTCTCGATCTCCCAAAATTGGTTGAGGGCTTTTGATCTACTCGATCTCCTCTTTTGATCCATTCGACCTCTTCTCTTCGTTTCCCCTCAAATCGGAGTGAATCCGCATCCAAATCGTCGTAACCAATTCCGCAAAACTCGGGATAAAAACGTGCACACGCGGGGCGACGCGAATGAATCACTTAGCGGCGCTTGGATTTGATGAACGAACAAAATTTTGGTGGAAGCATATTTCATTTTTTCAAGTAGGTAAAGATTATCACTTACTGTCGATGAGTGATACTCGCGGACCGGATGTGTAGAGTATTGGGGTACGTTGGAACGAGGGTCTACGTAGTACGATATCAAGCAGACAAAAGACAAAGATTGTACTGGTTCAGGCCCCTTATCAGGTAATAGCCCTAGTCCAGTTTATATGGGATTCATGATGATGAGAACAGATTACAAAGAGAGTAGTCGAAACAGATGGTACCAATGAGATCGTAGTCAAGGGATTCGACGAGATCTCCCGGCGTCTTGTCTCCATTTACTCCGGCTTCGTAAAATTTGGTGGGTGTGTTGGCGATTGAATTGGATGCCCTGAGCCCCTCCCAGGGGGTCTTTTTTATACCGTGGATCATCTTGCCCCCCAAGAAAGATTTGAGGATATCGGACCTGGTACGGTATAACAAAAACTCTATCCCTTTCGAGTAGGACTTTGGAAATCACTTGACTCGTAGAGATATTTTCTATAATTTGAAACAGTTTCCACACGACATTTACGAGAACAATCCGCGTACGTGAAGGCATACCTTATCGGTATATTCCATAAGTCGAAGTCGTAGGATAGGGGGTATACCTTATCTGTAACCCTGACACTTACTACTTACCACGCCAAATGGTTGAGCAATTAACTATTTTGATTTTTTTTATAATTTTTTTTGAAATAAACATATATTACTAGTATAAATTATAAAATAGTTCATTAGAAAAATTAAAACTTAGATGTAAATAATTAATGGCAATAACAACAAAGCTACAGATAAGATGAAAGAAATACGAAGTGAGCGTATCTCAACTGGTTAGGTTCCTTGTGGTGAAACGCACTCACCTGAGTTCAAGTTCTTGGCATAGATGTTTATATTTATGACTTATTAAATTTTTTTAATATTAGGTGACTCGTTGATAAAGAGACGTCTATGGTAACTTCGTTAATATAATGATACATCGGACTTTTGGAAGGGAAACTATTTTGATCCCTCGAGGGAATATCTCCTCGTTGTTTGCATGTTACCCAAATGGTTATGAAAAAAACTAAAAAATTTTGGGAAGATGTATTAACATGTGATACAACACTCTACAAACATGCAAGTTTAAATTCAACTTCTATGTCTCGCAACGAAAAAAAATTAAACTATAGCTAGTTAACGTATATTCACCGTTAATTTTTTTTTTACATAGAAGTTGAATTTGAACTTGTATGTTTGTGGAGTGATATATCACATGTTAATACATCTTCTTTTCTTTTCAAATTTTTTCACAACTATTTAAGTGGCATGTCCCACTTCCCTTTTGGAGGTGCTCATATAAGTATAGGACGAGTGTACCGTGGTGAAAAAAGAAAAACTAAAATTACACGTTACATTACATGGCATTGTAATTTTAGGCTTGGCCATTAGCCATCTGCAATTCTAAGTTACTAAAAAAATTGTTTTAAAAAAAAACTAAAAAAGTTGCAAATCCCAACTATTTACGCTGTGTGTGTGTCATGGTTTGCAGTCGGTGATCCCGCTGTGGAAGCAAGTAGACTACTTCCGGGAGTACAAGCGGCGGCTGGCGGCGCACCTGGGCGCGGCGGAGGCGGAGGCGGTGGTGTCGGATGCGGTGTACGCCATCAGCATGGGCACCAACGACTTCATCGAGAACTACTTCGCGGGGACGACGCGGCGGTACCTGCAGTTCGGGGTGGGCGAGTACACCGACTTCCTGGTGGGCCTCGCCCGTGGCCTCCTCGTGGAGCTCTACGGCCTCGGCGCGCGCAAGGTCGCCTTCACGGGGCTCGCCGCCGCGGGCTGCCTCCCGCTGGTCCGCGCCCGCCGCATGATGTTCTGCGCCGAGGAGTACAACGCCGCGGCCAGGGCCTTCAACGGCGCGCTCCGCGGCATGATCGCCGAGCTCGCCGACGGCCTGCCCGGCGCGCAGCTCCGCTTCGCCGACGTCTACGACTTCTTCGCCGACATCCTCGGCGACCCGGCACGATACGGCAAGCCATGCATATATCGCTAACGCGGATCGATCTCGTTCTCGTGGTTGGGTGGGTTTGGGACTTTGGGGCGTTGCATGCATTTTGCTGGACTGACACGACACGACACGACACTGGTGGGGGTGTACTGCAGGTTTCGTGAAGGCGGAGGTGGGATGCTGCGGGACGGGGACGTACGAGATGGGGTACACGTGCAGCGCGTGGGACGCGAGGACGTGCAGGGACGCGGACAGGTACGTGTTCTGGGACGCCGTGCACCCCACCGAGCGGGCCAACCGGATCATCGCCGAATACCTCTTCAACACCACCTTCTCCCACTTCCTCTGATCGATCCAATTCATCTTCGACTTACTTGTAGTATTAATTCATTTAGGAGTAGTAGTATAATTTTGGGGTAATATATTGATATTGGATTCGATTCGATTTTATTAGCTTCTCTCTTGCATTGGAAGCCCCGTTAGTATTGGTATGCCACTATGCCCATCGTGCCCAACGACGAGATCGATCCATCCATCCATCGAACAGATGTAGGAGTAGTTCTGCACTCATCATGTTAGCAATAGATGAATAGAAAAGTTATTCACTCCACCTACTGTCACTGCCGTGCATATGCTTTCGGGCATGGTTTATATACCGTTTCCGACGTGAAAAGTGGTCACGGTCGGTTTATGGAAAACCATAAAAACTGGAAGCACAAAAAACCAGCTAAACCACCTGGTTTTCTTGAAAACCGATAGGAATTACGAACCTTATTTCCTGGCAAATATAAGCTACAGAGTACAATTCGGTTACATTTTTTTTATCAACCCGTTAAATTTTTCTCCCAAAAATAAGAGTTGATTTTCTTGAAATTAACTCAAAACTAATCGGTTTCCATTTACGGATCCATAGAAAAATAACTAGCTAGAAGAATAGTGACGTTTTGATGGCAGCACGGATGTGCTCTCCCTTAAGAGCAGAACTGATTCTCAAATCAAGTCTCCAGAATTTAGACATAGCAGCATAGAATATTCCAAAAGCTACAGGGAAGAAAAAACTACCGAACGATATCATCAAGCAGGAGCGCAAACAGGGAACAAGTAAAAACAATCAGCTGAACAAGTCCTACTGAGCTCCAAATTTTATTCTGCTCTGCTACTCAAAATTGTGTCAAACTGAACTGAATTGTACAGACTAGTCAAGGTACATACACGGATGTACAGCCGGGATCCAAGCTAGCTACCCTACCACAACATTGCTACAACTCTGCCCATCTACACCCACCTGGTTCTTTCCTTCCGGGCGGGTGGATTGATGGATCTCACCATCCTCGCCCTCGCCCTCACCTCCCTACCGGAGTTCTGAACTGAAACCGCCATCCACGATGACAAGAACAGAGTTGCCGGAAACCGGGTTTTGCAGGTAAAAGAACGTGCAGGGCGCAACGCAACACTCTACACACTTGCCTGTCGCTACCACGAGCAGCTGGTGATGATGCACTGATCGCTAGTTGTGAGACGGGTTGGCGTTGGACCCGGGCACGTGGCGGCCGAGGCTGGCTCCCGGCCGCCGGAACGGCGCCGCCGTCCGCCACCGGCCGACGTCCATCTCTTGCTTCTGCCCTCCCGACGCCGTCTCAGGCGACGTCCTCGCCGGCGCCACCAATAGCTTCCTCGAGTTTGTTGTTGTCGTCGTCGCCGCCGCTGACGACGAGTTCACAAGAAGCATCGCAGCTAGCAGGAGAGCCAAGCACTGTAACGATCGGAATCCGGCCATCCTGTGGCTGCTGGTTCACTCGCTCAGCTATACAGGGAACAGTGAGAGATGTTCACGGTACGCTAGGTGGCTGTGAGAAATGGAAGCAGGGGAAGTCTCTGCTTCTCCTGGTGGTGGTTAAAGGAGGGAAAGACGCACTTGTCTCGATGAGATTTGGATCGGAGCTTAAGAGGCAGGTGATGGTGGTTTGTGACCTTAATTGTCCTGATGGTGGTTATTTCTAGTGTCAACTGGATGAAAAAACTTAGTATTTGATGGAGAGACTGTCATATGCAAGCTCACATGTGGTTAAACTGGATCCATGTGCAACCGCCACACCTAGCTAGCTAAGGCTGTGTTTTTATCTAAAGTTTGGATACAAACTTGAATCATTTTCCATCACATCAACCTATCATACACACACAACTTTTCAGTCACATTATCTCTAATTTCAACCAAAATCTAAACTTTACGTTGAACTAAACACAGCCTAACTGAAGTAGATCAGGTCGGAATCTGAAGGAAGAGTGAAAAAAAAAGAAGTGAACTGGCCTTGTTAAAAAGCAGTTGTACCCTATAGTAGTACTCCCTCCGTCCTAAAAAAAGACAAACCTTGGTTTCTGTGTCCAACGTTTGACCATCCGTCTTATTTGAAAAAATTATGAAAAAAATTAAAAAGACAAGTCACGCATAAAATATTAATCATGTTTTATCATCTAACAACAATGAAAATACAAATTATAAAAAAAATTCATATAAGATGGACAGTTAAAGTTGAACACGAAAACCCAGAGTTTGCTTCTTTTTTTTTTTTTTGGACGGAGGGAGTAGTATACACTGTCCGAAATTGCAGTGTATACTGACTTGCAGAGAACATTCAGATCAAACTGTCTGAAATTCCTTCTGCTGATGTTACACGTGTCGATAGCACCTTCTGCTAACTCTCAGCTCTTTATTGTTCCAGAAGAAACGATCTGACAGTTACTGCCTGCTAACATGGTGAGCAATCTGTAATCTACAGAATGTCAAAGCTAACCTCCTATAGTTTCACTCCAGTTGCGCTGAACATGTCAAGTGGTGGTCTGCTTTTTCTTTGTCAGTAGGGAGGGGAGGGGAGGAATTCAGGAATATGTGGATCATGCATGTGGATCATCTTTGACCAGGATTAAGACCAGACATACATGTTATTGCACAGACGTACTCTTATATATGCACTCAGTGATCCAGATTTATGCAAGGCTGTACCTGGCAAAACCAAAATTGCCACTTGATTAATGCAGTAATCAACCCGGAGGGAGGGAGGGTCACGCGAGCACGTGATGGGAACACATGGCCCGGGAAGGGGAACTGCAAGCCGCGGCGCCGGTGGTGGCGAAGACGGTGAGACACCACCGGCCGCCTCGGGATTGCCGCGTGCATCTTGACCGCCACCGTGGGCCGCCGCTTCTGTGCCTTAAAATTCCTTCCCTTTCTGCCTCCTGCTGCTTTGCTTTCCCATGCGTTTTGTTTCTTGCTTGCATCGGTACCATATTTATTTATAGCACACACTGCCAGTACCACGGTAGCACATGCATGTTTGATCTCAGGTAGCATGTGAAAGTGCTGAACCCTTAATTCTGGTGGTAAATAGCAATGTGATTTTTTTAAAAAAAAAACAAAATGGCAATGTGATGATGGGCATTCAAGCCTTCAAGGCCTCTACTGGCACCAATTTGGCCAAAATTGTTGTTTCAGTGGAAGTTTGAGCTTTGAAAGTAATTTAATCTGGTAGAAATTTAAAATGGTGGCATGGAAAAACAAGGATTAATTAAGTCAAACGAACTTGCGGAAAATAAGATTTATACAGTTTGTATGCCGTGGAAAATTGACGCTTTTGTAGGCACACCCAATCGAGGCGAATTGACGCTTCTGTGGGCACACACCTAACATAAGCATAAGCAGAAGTTACAGAGGTATGTACTTAATTTGATCTGTTTGTACTTTTCTTCTCATTTCTTTCTAGCGACTGGGTGAATCATGTGATGCCAGTGAGTATCGCATCTTTCTTTAGCTGGGCAACATACTGTGGCGAAACTTCGGTTACGTACGTACGTAGTATCAATTACCTTACCACTACCAATTGTAAAGAGATTAAGTGCCAGCTAATCTGTCTTTTTCTATCTAGGATCGCCCCAAGATTCATCCACAACTACCCCACCTGCAAATGGTAATTTAGGATTTGTTACGACGGCCATGTGGTCGAAACACGTGATCGTGTCCGGCCCGATCCGGTGTCGGAGCCCCGAGAAGAAACCGACCACGGGTGGTAAAACCATCTTTGGTCGGTCGACCAAATTCCACAATAGTTTCGGTTTCATTAAAAACCGAGATTAAAATCGACTTTTAGTCCTGGTTAAAAAAAATTGATCTTTAGTCCCGGTTCAACCCATGTTAGAGGTTATAATCCCTGTTCCTTATCCTTATTCTCTCCTCCACAATCACAACCACTCCCTCACCCACAGATCAATCCTCCTCTCTTCTCCCCCCCTCCCCTCTTCTATCCTACACAGATCCTCCCCTTCCTCCTTCCTTCCCCCTTCCCTTCCTCCTCCCTCCCATGGAGACGGATGAGGCCACTCCTCCTTCCTTCCCCTTCCCTTCCTCCTCCCTCCCCTAGGAACGGATGAGGCCGCTTCCCCTTCCCTTCCTCCTCCCTCCCCTGGGAACGGATGAGGCCGCGCTACGCGGACGCGGTGGATGGACGGATGCACATGCGTGCTGCCCAGACGGCCATCTCTTTTTTTTCTTGATATTTTTTGATTCACTGAGATGTAATTTTGTGATTCATTGTATGGATTTGAGATGTATAATCTGTGATGTATTTGATTTTAGTTTAAATTTTTAGGATTTGTGATGTTTTAGATTTGTGTGTAAAAGTAACTTTAAGATTTGTGATGTGGATTTGAGATGTTACTTTATTTGGGAATTTAGGGTTTGATTTGGGATGCCATCCGATTCGGGAGAAAATAAAAAAGTAACAAAAAAGAAAAGGGCACCATCCGGATTGTCCCTATCTACAAACCGGGACTAAAGATAGATCTTTACTTCCAGTTATTTCGCACCAACCGAGACTAAAGATAGATCTTTACTTCAGTTATTTTGCCCGCGATCTTTAGTTCCGGATTCATACACTGGTGGAGAAACCATCTTTGGTCGGTCGGCCAAAATACACAATAGTCCCGGTTGCAATAAAAACCGAGACTAAAGATACCTTTAGTCCCGGTTCAAAAGGATAGAGTTCTTTTTTATCTTTAGTCCCGGTTGGTAATAGATCTTTAGTCCCGGTTAGTGTTACCAACCGGGACTAAAGATAATAGATCTTTAGTCCCGGTTAGTGTTACCAACCGGGACTAAAGATAGATCTTTAGTCCCTGTTGGTAACACCAACCGGAATAAAAGATCGGCATGCGCAACATGGGCAGCGAAGAGTACGAGACCAGATCGAGGAGGAGGAGGAGCAGTTAATATATTCTATCTCCTCCCTGGCCTTATCTCTTCCTCCTCCATATCTCTTCCTCTTCTTCCTCCTCTCCTTTTAACTTCTCTCCTCCTTTTCCTCTTTCTCCTCTACCAGCGCCGGCGGGCGGAGGGCCTGGCGGCCAGCGGGCGGAGGGCCTGGCGGCCGGCGGCGCGGAGGCCCGGGCGGCGTCGCGGGCGGGAAGGGGGGGTGGCCCGGGCGGCCTCGCGGGCAGCGCGGTGGCCGGGCGGTGCTGCGGCCCGGGTGGCGCGGTGGTTGGGGGCGGCGCGGCGTTGGGCGGTGCGGTGGCGGGCGGTGCGGCGAAGGGCCAGGCGGCCTCGCGGCGGGCGGCGCTCCGGCGGCCGGCGGCTGGCGGCCGGCGCGGCAGTGGCAACGGGCTTTTTTTTTCTTCTTTTTAGAATTTGTGATTCGGATCTGTGTATTTGATTTGTGTGTGATGTGAATATGATGTATCTATGATGAATTTTGTAAAATTTGTGATGTATCTGTGATGTATCGATTTGGGGAGTTGAGGATTTGGGGATAATTTATTTGGGATTTTGGGAAGGGGATGGGGTGAAATCAATATAATGAAGAAAAGAAAATAATAATGGAGCAACCGGATCTAGCTAGTCTAGCTCTATCTTTAGTCCCGGTTGGTGTTACCAACCGGAACTAAAAAGGCTATATCTTTAGTCCCGGTTGGTAACACCAACCGGGACTAAAAATGGATTTTTACTCCCGGTTTTTTCACCCGGGACTAAAGATAGTGATCTTTAGTCCCGGATTGGTAGTCCCGGTTTGAAAACCGGGACTGTAGGGGGGTTACGAACCGGGAGTAAAGCCCCTTTCTCCACTAGTGATAGTCCCGGTTAGTAAACCGGGACTATAGGAGGTTACAAACCGGGAGTAAAGACAGTTTCTCCACCAGTGGACCTGCTCCTCCAGGACTATAGGGGGTTACAAATTTCGGCCGCACTTTGGTCAGAGTATGAGCGTCGTACTACGGCAGCAAGTTGCATGGACAAAACACACCACCACCCGCACACATTGAGCAGTTAGTTTGCGTGGCCGTATTTTCTCTTTTGGATCTATTATTTGTGTTTTCACCCCTCAACTTCTCTATTGCACAACCAGGCTCTTGAATTATGGTCTATTTTTGGGACTATCTAAAAATCATTCGACATATTTTTTTTCTTAGAAAATCAGTCGGATTTTCAAGCCACCCAAAAGCTACATGCGGTTCAAATGAAAGCGTATCAACGTAAGTCAGTCATACAGTCACCGGACGTTAATCACGTCAATGATGCTAAAAAAAAAAAGAAAACTAACAGCTTATTGGCGCAGTAAAAATATCGAATCACACCTCAAACAATTAGGGTTCACCATAGTACAATAAAACAACGATGAGTACTACATGTGAAATAAAAATTACACCCACATCTACTGAAAATAACATTGTGACGATAGTGTGCTTACGTTGTAATCGTGGTGTAGTTATTGTATAACTGCTAACAGTGTGGAAGTGGGGTGTAACTGCGGGGTAAGGGTGTAAAGGATGTAATTGTGGTTTGAATTGTTAAAAAAATATAATTTTAGCAGCAAAGTCATCATTGCCTACATGCTCGGTTGGTAAGGTTGCATGTTGTGGCATCCTGACAGTCACGGGATCGACTCTCTGCTATGGCCAAATATTTTTTTTCCTCCAAGGTGTCTACACAAATTTCAATGTAAATCGTG